GCCAACCTCACTACTGTTGCCACGTTTGTGTCCATTGATGCTGCCACTTGGCCAATCCATCTCATTGGGGGCCTTTCTCTTTTTCTCTGACCCTCTACCTTACCAAACATGATATCCTTCTCCAAAAAAACTGCCTTCTGATTGGTGTACTTAAAAAATGAAAGTGTGTCCCCAGTTCTCCATTCACTGTTTGAGCAGTTTAGTTTAAGGTGGGTTTGGCTGGTGTTGACTGCTGATCAGTTGGTACAGGACCTGGTATTGGCTCTTCCCCAGTGGGTGGAGCTACAGAAGGTACGATTGTGTTTGGGCTGTGGGCAAAGATTCTTTCTCCTTTTGGTTGTGGCAAGAAAGGAAACATGCACACACACACAAAGAAAATAAAACAAAGCAAATAAACCAACAGTAGTGAAAAAAGTAAATAATAAAGGAGAGAAAAAAACAGGTAGCAAGAAAAAAAAATGTAATTTCTAAGAAATAAGGGACAGTAAAATACAGTTACAGAAGAAAAAATAAGAGAGAAAACAAAATAAAACAACAACACTAGACAAAACGAGGAAGACTGGAGTTGAAAAGAGAATGAGACTAGAAAGTAGTAAAGAAAGATCAAGAGACAAAAACAGTATGAAGAGAAAGAGGTGGGAAAAGGAAAAACAGAAGAAAACAACTAAAGCAGAGGGAGAAAAGATAACAAGGAAGGTAAGGGAAAAAGGAAGAAGGAGAACAAAGACAAACAAAGAGAAAACTAAAACACAACAACTACCAACAACAAAACCAATGCATGCACTGGAGGGCAAGAGGGGGGCTGTTAATCAAGGAGCTCACAAGGTGGTTGGGGGAGGCATGAGAAGGCAGCATTCCGCCCCCTAAACGGGCCAGCTTAGGCAGCTCTTCAAACTGTGTATCTAGAGCAGAACTTGCTCAAATCTAGGCACCAAGGCAGGACCATGGGTGTCCAGTTCACTCTGGTACCACCCACAATCTGGCAGCTATGAATTCCTGGACAGCAGGGGGCTGTACTAGGGGTGGGAGTTGGCCAGCCTTCCATCACCAGGAGAGCATGGGAAACAAGAAAGAAACATACCTTTCTCGTTGTCAGTCCCTGGTGTGAATCTGTGCTGCCAAGCTTTTGTCTCTGAACTGCCCACAAGTTTAAAAATGGCAAAGCTGCATCAAGCTGAGAGACTCCTCATCTGTCTGTCTGCCTCCTTCCTGCCAGCTCAACCTCTCCTCCCAGTAAGTGTTCAATCCCCTTCTTCAGCCTTTCCTCTGAAATGCAGGGTTTTATAATAATCATCTATGTGTGGTTCTTTGTTGTAGAAACAGGGTGGGGAACATCGGTCTCTTCTGACACTCACCTTGATACTTTCTTTCCTCTCTTTTTTTACTAAGTGAGTGCCATATATGCAGTTTTTTTTTTTTTTAAATGACCATTGTACTACGTACAGACAACAATATTAGTGACTGGTGCTTCTACTTAGGTATTAATGTCAATAATACTTGGTCAACAGTACTTGCATAAAGTGCTGATAAATAACTTAAATGTTACAAAAGAAGGTCAGTGAACATTGAGTTTGAAAGCATCACTCTACATACAGTATAACTGGTGTCAGAAGAGCCACAGTGCTCAAATCCCTGCAGATTCCTCATGAAGATGATGGTGCATGTGCTCAAGCTGGCCAGAATCAGAAACATCATCGTTTGCTTTGTACTTAGCCAAAATTTTCATTACAGGTTGCAGCTTCAGTCACCACTATTCTTTGGGAATTCTGTGCTTGAAATCTGTGTCCTTCTTTAGGTCTGCAACTGGTTGAAAACTAAGGTTTCTTTTGCTTATTCCCAGGACACAGACTGTATCATCAATTACAAACTTTTTTCCTGTTCCCTGAGATTCCTTCAGTTTCGAAGTAATCCACTGCATAGCTTTGGCAGAAACTTTTGTTCCACAGTTTCCATCAAAAGGAGGTGCTCCACCCTGCTACATGTGACCCAGCACATTCTTCCTGCAATTAAACACTCCTTTTCTTTCTGAATAAAGCTGGAAAATGAAGTCAGTGGTATAATTTTCACTGCAGTTCTTTTCTGAGCACAAGACCCCTGTTCATGGTGGTCTTCATTTTCTCTGTCAGATGCTCTATATTGGACTGTAGATCTCTGATATCAAATGGCTTTTCAAAAATGTAAGCTGTATTGGCTCCAGCTGCAAGTCCCCCCAATTGGCCAGGTAAGCACAGTAGCCATCCATGGTCTCAATGATGAACACGCAGCTCTTGGTCCCACTGGGACTTTCTGAGGCAGTTGCATGTGTCAGTGATTGTGTTCAGGGCAGTTTCTGCACCAATACTGAAATCTGAACCTGGTACACTGTTGGAGACAGTAGCGGGTACCATGATCATTGGAACACAGAACTCCTTGTGTTTCTCCCGGGCAGCTGACAGTTCCAGCAGTCCCAGGTAGGCCTCAAATTCACCAATAATCAATCGAGTGTTGATAATATGAGCACGCATCTGTTCAGCAATCTTCTCCAAATACTTTCCCGGTAGAATACGTTTTGTTTCAAGAATTGATCCTCCTTGGCCAGTCCAGCCTCCAGCATCTGTCCAGCCAATTTCTTTTACCTGGATTTTGGAAAATCTATCAAAGCCATCGTAGATAGGGAGCATTTTGTGGCCTTCGGATATCCCCATTCTTACAGCTGAGCATACAGCAACATTCATCCCAGCCACAGGGACACCCACGTTTATGACAACTAAGTTATTTCCCTTGACAATCTGTGAGTCTGGAAACTTGATGGAAAACCATTTGTAGGTGTTCAGGTTACCCTCAAAGCTCCTTCTTTGAAGTTGTACAGCTTCTTTAAATCTTCTTTCATCCATGACCTTTTGCACAGCCTGAGTCATCTGTACACACTGCACCAGCAGAAGGCGCAAGACGTGGTTTCCGCTCAGGGAAACCTTCTAGGTCGCTTCAAGAAGGGCAATAACAGCCTCCACCCGCTGGCGACTGGCCAAAATTCTGTCAAAAGCTGATGGAGTTCTTCCTCTTTGCACATGCCCAAGTATCGTTCCTCAAGTGTCATATCCCAGCTGTGTGACTACCAAATCTTTGATTTTCTCAGAAGTAACAGGTTTACTTTGGCAATCAATTGCTCCTTCATCTATAGTGATAATATTCAGCCTTTTCTTTCGAGCATGGTTCTTTGATAGTTTAATGCACATATTTTCTTCCCAGCCATCTTTTGGAGGAGATTCCGGAAGAAACACCCAACTTGCCCCACAAGCCAATGCACTGACCATGGCTAAATATCCACAGTGTCTCCCATGATCTCAAGAACAAAGGTCCTCTGGTGGCTCTGTGCCGTGGTCATGATGGCATCAACAACTCCAATGATCCTTTGTAGAGCCAAGTCTGTGCCTATCATCATGTCTGTCCCACAGAAGTTGTTGTTGATGGAGCCTACCATGCCCACATGTTGAGGTACGCATGCTCCATCATAGCATCTGAGTCAATTTGGCCAGACTTGGCCAGCTCTTCCAGCAGCCTGCTCCATTCCTTCTGGAAGATACTGGCCCTTGTTAAACTTCCATCTTCACCAATTACACAGAGATTTATAATTCCCAGATGAATCAAGTTGCAGGCAGCTTTTAAGCGGCCTTCCCAAGTACAAAATGATTGGCAACGGGTGCTGCCGATGATTGTCCTTCCCATCTGTAGAAAGCTCGAGATACTTTCCCATGAGGCGTCAACAATATTAGGACCTCCCTCTACCAAACCTTGGAAGCCCTCATATATGGAATATACTTTGACTCCTACGTAGATTCCCATGCACACTACAGCATGAACAGCAGCATTCGTTCATTCCTTGGACATCCCCGCCACTAGTCAGGACTCCGATGGCTTACCAGCCCCGGAAAGGTGTTCCAGGTACTTCTTGAAGGAACCCTTGGATGTAGAGGTAGTGTCCATAGTGAGGAGAGGTGCCAAGAGAGCCCTGTTAGCTTATGGGGAACGAGTGAGATCCCAGAACAGCTTTTTTCCTGTCTTTTTAATGACTTTTAGCTTTCTTCCTGTATGGTGTTCTTGGTGTCATCCCACAACTCTTATAGTCTTTGGTCATTATTGTTCAGCGGGTCAAAACTGTTATTGAAATGGTTTCTAAATTCAGGTGAGATATGCTCAAGGTTGTATTTTGGCTCGCATAGGTTTATTTTGCAGTCCTGGTGCATTATCCCACAGTGCCACATCAGGACTTCTCCATGTGTATAGTCACCATTTGTATTTTAGTTGTAAAAAGGCATTTGCAATGAAGACATGATTGGTGTTGCAAAATACTATCATGCTCTCTTCAGCATCATTTCTGTCACCAAGGCCATATTTTCCAACTAGCAAACCTTCCTCTTTATTTCCAATCTTCACAATCTAATCACCAGTACTTATCAATGCATCTTGATCACATATTTGATCAATTTCAGACTGAAGAATTTGGTAGAATTCTTCAGTTTCTTCTTCATTGGCTTTAGTGGTTAGTGCTGTAAATTTGAATAGTATCTGTATTATCTGATCTTTCTTGTTTTGTTTTGTTTTTTAAGTGTTGTTGGGTTGGTTACGACTTATAACTATCTTATATATGATTTGGTTACGAATTGGGCTGCGAACCACAAGGTCAGTTCTGCAGAAAAAAGATGAGGCGTTCTGCTCCTATAAAGATTTTACAGGCTTCAAAACCCTGTGCAGGGTTGCTATAAGTCAGAACCAACTCCACAGCACACAGCTACCACCATATAGGATTTTGGAGTTGCTGCTGGTAACTTTGAACAGTGGAACTTATGGATAGCCATGCAGTGTTTATCCTACAGTGCCATACCAGGATTCTGTTGTTTTGTGTGTGTGGGTGGGTGTATAGCTATTATCCTCTCACAGACAGGATTGTACGTAAAGATAGATCTTGAAATGTTCTTTTTGACAATGAATGTAATGTTGTTCCTTTTCAATTTATGAATCCTGGCATAGTAAACCATGATTGTCTCATTCTAAATGACCAATACCAATATATTTCAGCTCACTAATTCCTAGAATATCATTCTTTATAAGGTATATTTCATTTTTGACAACTTCCAATTTTCTTGTATTCATTTTCTGATTATTCCATGTTCTGATTATTAATAGATACTTGTAACTTGCAGCTGTTTCATCAAATGAAAGTTCTGAAAGTTTTTCTCCATCCATGTCATTAAGGTAAACTCAACTTTGAGGAGGTAACTCTTCCCCAGTCATATTTTGAGTGCCTTATAATCTGATGAGTTCATTTTCCTGTATTATATTAGAAAATGTTTCACTGCTATTCTTAATGTTTTCAGTGGCTAATCCCTCAGAAATGGACCACCTATTCTCTCTTAGTAAGGAAGCTCTGCAGAAACCTGTCCACTGTGGGTGACCCTGCTGGTATTTGAAATACTAGTGGAATAGCTTCCAAAATCACATCAGCACACAAGCCACCACAGTTCAACAAATTGACAGACAAGTGGTGGCTGTTCAACCACTAGTGAACACAATTACTGGAAATTTAACAATGGTCTCTTGCATAGTGTTTATGGACAGACTGTTTTCAGTATGCCACTTAATGGGGTTCCCACCACTCAAATTCACACATTTCTTACATTTTGTAAAGATGGACTCCATTCCAATTTCACTTCTTTAGGGAAGGGACTCTGAGCCAGATTGCACAGGGACCTATCCATGGAATAATCAAATAAAGCATAATTGGATATGTAGCTGAATCTGAAGATAGCCTGTCCCTTTCCTCTGTGTGCAGGACCAGCCTGTATCAGGGGGGTCTCCCAAGGCAGACGTGGAATGAAAGCGACAGAAGACTCGAGATGGTCAGTCAAGAGCAACTTTATTAACTACAATACAGCTTTAAGTACAGTCTTAAGCAGTAGGCGTATCCAACCACTAAAACAAAGCTAGCAGTTAGGCACACATATTTTCTCATTTTAGATTTCTCCCCCAGCCACCTGGTCATTTTGTTTTGCTCCCATAATCTTTGGCATGCAAGGTTTTCCTTGCGGTTCTCATCAAGGAGTTCTTTGGTTTGAGAATTGCTTCAGAGTGGTTTTCACACACATCCTATTCTTCCTACATCTGGGAAGTTCCCAAAAGAGAAGCTTTGCCTGAGCACCCTTAGAAGTGTTTATGACAATGCTGCAGATACTCACTGACATCTGCTTCCTCCTCCTCTTCTGTCTCTTAAGACTCCATGCAGACAGCTCTTCTCATTCCCTCACATTTCCCTTCAGCATGTTTCCAACATAATATATTACATCATGGTTCTCAAAGTGTGGTCCGAGGATCAAACAGCATTGGCCTCAATTAGGACCGTGTTCAAAATGCAAATTCTCAGATCTCTACCTCAGACCTAACAAATGAGAAATTCTGGGGATGGGACCAGGGGTCTGTGTTTTAACAAGCCCTCTAGGTTATTCTGAGGCATTCGAAAAGCTGAGGGTCAATATATTATATTCTATAGCTTTTGTTGTTGTTGCAACATTTTGTACCTTGGGGCAGCAACAAAACAATTTCTGGACATCCTGATTAAATTCAGTATTTACTTCCAGTCTCCAAAAGTGACAAATCATTTTGTTTGGTGAGCTACTTCTAGGGAGGAATAATCTCATCAATTGTTTAGTGATTTTTTGCTATTTCTTCTCTTAGAGATGATTGATCTTTAATTTCTGGGGATATTTTATTGTAGTTTTGTATCTACTAAATCATATATCTCTTCTATAATTTATCTTTTCATGATATATTTCTTGATTACCCAACTAGCTGGTAACTTCTTTAAAGGTGCAGGCTATGAATATGTATTTGGTATAGGCTAGAGAATCTAGTATAATACAGAGCTCATAGAAGACATTTAGATATTAGATTGAATAATCATAAAGACCTTAAAAAAATGTCCTCTTTTTCTAATTCCTGACTTTCTTTTACTGACATTATTTTAAATTTATAAATGCCATTTCTAAATTAGACACGCAAGAAAAAAATGTAAAGAGTTTCAACAATAATTAAATAAAACAGAAAATAACTGGTATCTGGATTTCCTTCTCCAAATTATGACTATCTGGATTCTCCTATCAATTATGGCAATTTTACCAAATTGTGGTATAAAGAACAAAATAGGAATGACCAGTGGTCACAAACATAATGTTCTACATCCTATTTCAAGTAGCAACTGGGATCTAAATAGCTCATGAGCGGTCAATTAAGTTTCAAGTATTGGTCTCTCCCTGTCCAGAGGAAAGAAGAGTGATGAAAATTGAAGATGCTTCAAGATAATTAATCCAGTAGACTAGTAGACTATGTGAACATTAGTCTCCATGATGCTCGGATTAGAAGAATTAGATGGTGCCTGGGTACCATTACC